CGCCCCCTTATAAAACTATCAGCTCTCCTGAGAAATCACTATCATGAGAACAGCATGGGGAAAACCACCCCATGAGTCAATTACCTCCACCTGGTCTCTCCCTCAACATATGGGAATCGTGGGGATTACAATTCAAGATGAGATTTGGGTGGGGGCACACACAGAGCCTAACCATATCACACGGTAAATGTGTAGTGTAAGTAAACAATACATCTTCATAATTTGCAGCCACTGAGATTTTTGACATTGTTTTTTACTGAAGAAACAAAAATATAAAACACCCAACCAAGAAGTCCAAAAGATTTCAGTTTCCTTAATGATGACTTTAATAATTTGGCATTTCCATGAATAACCCCAATTCTTTTAAAAACCTCTCTCTTTTTTTAAGCTTCTGGTATGATGCAAACATTAAGTATGCACCTCACCTGGTCTGACTATTGGGAAATCTAAACCTTCTCCCCTTAGAAACTCTGCCCTGTGGCAAATCACAGAAGAATACACTGACTTTTAGAGACTATGTTAGGATATCCTCTCTCTGCTGTCATTTACCAGCCAGTCATATGTTTGTAGAAAATTTATTCCAACTCTCTAAATCTCAGCTTTCTTATAAAATTGGCACCATAATTCCTATCTTTCCAAGTTATTGTGCTCTGCGGGTAAAAAATAAATAAATAAATAAAAATGTACTCCAAGTATAGGTGACTGTCCCAACCCACTCCTGACCACCAGCAGACACATTACTCAACCCTCCCGAGGAAGGGTTTCCTTTCCATAAAATGGGATGACAATACCTACCTCCCAACTACTTGGGGTCAGGATTAAATAAATGAGTCAACATAAAGCTCTCAGCAGGCCTCTGCACCGAGCATGAGGACGCAGCAGGTGATGTAATCATCGTGCTCATCATTAAATTGTTAAACTGCGTAGCACCTAATATACATTCAATAAATCTTAGCTGCTTCCCTCGCCCTTGGAGAATGAGATCTTCATGTTTAGGAATCGAATCATTTGAAATAGCATAATCAATAGTTAATCAGCAGGGTGGCCAACAACCTGCTATGAAGAGAAAAGGACTGAGAGTCTCTGCTTTAGACCCGTTTATGACAAGACATGTCTGGGGCCTTAGGATGCCAGGTTTTTTTCCATTCTGCGAACACATGGCTTCCATTAGTTTACTGATACTGACACATCCGAGGCTTCCAAAGTACTCCGGGCCTCTGATGAGTGAAAGGTTTGCATACCCAACAAGCAAAAGAAAGGCTCCACAGGCATAAAACTGCTGCCAGGGGAGGGGCAGAGGAGGTGTTGAGTTTAGGTAGGAGACCAAATCTGGCTCTGTTTTTAATGACCATCCTGTCCACACCTGAAAATAAACTAGCTACACCTGGGGAAATTTCTAATGCTTCTGGAGCTGCAATGCCAATGTCAGTGTGCATATGTAGCCTTCATTAATCAGAGTGGGTGTCATGTGGGTGTGTGCAAACAGGGAATAGTGAGTAGTTTGCACAGTGTACACACACCGTCTCTGCCGAACTTTCTAATCCAAAGCAAACCCGAGCTTGGATGTTCAGCTCCTATTATCACGTGTTCCAAGGACATCGTTGTTTGGTTGGATTCTTTCAAACAGGCCTGAATTCTAATTAGTTTGCAGTGCAAGGCTGCAGAATGGTAACTCAATCCCTGCCTAAAGTTTGTCATCTGTTCCCCATCTTCAAAGCAGGATGGTCCACTTTTGTGCTGTGCAAAGGTGATGCTGGGGACCTCATTTTGTACTCTGTGTCTCATAGCAACAAGGGCTATTTGAAAGAGGGGGAAAGGTGGGGCCATCGCTGACCTAAGTTTGGGACAATTCGTTGTTCTAAGTTTCATCCCCAAGGGGAGGGTTCCAAAGAAATAAGGCTTTGTGTCCCTGATGACAGAAAGGACCTACCTCGTTGGGGCAGTCCTATGAGCTCTCAAAATGTTTGCCGTTTCAGACCATACAGCAAGAGTGAGCAAATAAAAGTGTGAAGAAAAAATAATGAGGGCATATTTGGCTAATACTTGAAAGCTAGCAATGTGTCTTCCCATACACCAAATCATCTGATTCTTTCAACAGCCCTACAAACAGGTGAGCAGTTCATATTAGCCCATTTTACAGGTGAGGAAAGTAAGACTGAAGGATGCCAGCCTACCTTGATTTGCATCTTGTCTCCTGACAGCTAAATTCTTAAACCCTGGGCAAGCTTCTCCATCTTTCTGTGTCTCTGTGTCCTCATCTGCAAAATGCGGAAAACAACATTGCTACTTCATGGGTTGCTAAGTTTAATGAGTTACTATACGCAAAAATAAAAATGTGATTAAAAATCATCTGTGATATGCAAAGAGTTGACTATGCGTTGGCTATTTTAATGATGAGGAAAGGTATTAGGTTGGTACAAAAGTAATTGTGGTTTTTGCCATTACTTTTTTGTTGTTGTTGTTTTTGATACAGAGTCTCACTCTGTCACCCAGACCAGTGGCGAGATCTCAGCTCACTGCAACCTCCACCTCCTGGGTTCCAGCAATTCTCCTGCCTCAGCCTCCCTCGTAGCTGGGACTACAGGTGTGTGCCACCATATCTGGCTCATTTTTTGTATTTTTAGTAGAGACGAGGTTTCACTGTGTTAGTCAAAATGGTCTCAATCTCCTGACCTTGTGGTCTACCCGCCTCGGCCTCCCAAAGTGCTGGTATTACAGGCTTGAGCCACTGTGCCTGGCTGACATTACTTTTAATGGCAAAAACCATGATGACTTTGGTACCAACCTTATAAAGTTGAAAATGTGGGACCCCAGAAGCTCAGGATTGAAAACATCCATGGGAAGAAGAATCGGGCTGAGAGGAAATCCACAGAGAAAATGAGAACAACAGAACAACCTTGTTCATGTGGCTATTCAATTCCCATCCTGTCTACACTCCACACTCAACCATGGATGGATGACACACTGCTCCAAATCCCTCAGTGTCACCAGGAAGATCGTGACCCAATCTGACACCGGGTCATGGAAAGTTGTTTCCTTCTTATTTTATAAAATGCACATGGAGGTGGAGGGGGGAGACCAAGTTTGACCCCCTCCAATCCATTTAATAATAGCTAATACATGGAGCTTTTCTTATGTGCCAGGCACTGTGTTATATATATTACACACAGTTTCTCATTTGTTTCTCATAGAGGGGACGAAATGTATTAGTTTGCTCAGCACTGATGGGCTATCTAGAATTTGGCTGTATTAGTCTGTTCTCATGATGCTGATAAAGAGATACCCAAGACTGGATAATTTATAAAGAGAAAGAGGTTTAATGAACTCACAGTTCCACGTGGCAGGGCCTCACAATCATGGTGGAAGGCAAAAGAGGAGCAAACTACTGTCTTACGTGGTGGCAGACAAGAGAGACTGTGCAGAGGAACTCCCATTTATAAAACCATCAGCTCTCGTGAGACTTACTCACTACCATATGAAGAGTATGGGGAAAATCACCCCCATGATTCAATCATCTCCACCTGGCCCCGCCGTTGACAGGTTGGGGGTTAGTACAATTCAAGGTGATATTTGGGTGGGGACACAGCCAAACCGTCTCATTGGCTATAACTGAGTGTACTGGGCAAGCTGGGACAGCTGGTCATCCCCAACAAGGAGGGCTCAATTCCATTTTGTAAATGAAAGACCTGAAGTCAGAGGAGTCTCAAGGCTAGCCAGGCCAGTTGGGATTTTTCAACCTGTGCTTTTAAATCACTATAAAATACCAGCTAGAGAGAGCACCTTCCTATGGGAGAAAGTTGTAGCCCATCAGTGAATGGATGAAATTAGCTGTTGCTTCCTCTTTTTTTGAACTTTCAGGCTCAAAGGTACACATACAGGTTTGTTAAATAGGTTAACTTGTGTCACGGAAGTTTGATGTACAGATCATTTCATCACCCAGGTACTAAACCTGGTAGTCAATAGTTATTTTTATGCTCCTCTCCCTCCTCTGATCTTCAACCCTCAAGTAGACCCCAGTATCTGTTGTTCCCTTCTTTGTGTTCATGAGTTCTCATGACTTTTCTCTGACTTAAGAAAACATGCAGTATTTGGTTTTCTGTTCCCGTGTTAGTTTTCCAAGGATAATAGCCTCCAGCTCCAACCAGGTTCCCGCAAAAGACACAATCTTGTTCTTTTTTATGGTTGTATAGTATTCCATGGTGTATAGGTACCATATTTTCCTTATCCAATCTGTCACTGACAGAGATTTATGTTGATTCCATTTCTTTGCTATTGTGAATAGTGCTGCAATGGGCAAAGGAGATGAAACTTTTCAAATGATATGAACAGACATTTTTCTTTTTTTTTTTTTTTTGAGACAGAGTTTCACTCTTGTTACCCAGGCTGGAGTGCAATGGCACAATCTTGGCTCACTGCAACCTCCACCTCCTGAGTTTAGGCAATTCTCCTGCCTCAGCCTCCTGAGTAGCTGGGATTACAGGCACACGCCACCATGCCCAGCTAATTGTTTGTATTTTTAGTAGAGATGGGGTTTCACCATGTTGACCAGGATGGTCTTGATCTCTTCACCTCATGATCCACCTGCCTCGGCCTCCCAAAGTGCTGAGATTACAGGTGTGAGCAACCGCGCCCAGCTCATGAACAGACATTTTCAAAAGAAGACATACATGCAGCCAACAAGCATATGAAAAAATGCATCACTGATCATGAGAGAAATGTAAACCAAAACCATAATAAGATACCATCTCACACAAGTCAAAATGGCTATGATAAAAAAGTTTAAAGAAAAAAAAGATACTGGCAAGGTTGCAGAGAAACGGGAACACTTACACATTGCTGGCAGGAGTGTAAATTAGTTTGACCATTGTGGAAAGCAGTGTAATGATTCCTCAAAGAGCTAAAAACAGAACCATTTGACCCAGCCATCCCAATGCTGGGTATATACCCAAAGGAATATAAATTGTTCTACCATAAAGACACATTACACAAATGTTCACAGTGTTGCTTTCTTTATTACAAAGGGTTTCATATCTTCCTGAACTGATCTTCTCTGTTGTTGATGCTGTTGGGTTTTATCTCTTCTGTGGTTGTTATACTTCCGTAGGATTTGGAGGCATAATCTGAAACATCAAATAACAGACTTTTATTTTTCTAACTAGTGTCATTCTATCTTTGGAAAGAAAGGAAAGAATAATGTCATTAGCATTAACAACTCTGAAAAGATCAAGACCTGATCCTCCAAGTTCTATTGTTTTCTTTTTCTATTTCCCCCTAAAAAGAGGTCTTAGTTATCAGTAACTTCCTATGAATTACGATTTCAGAAGTGATCAGGGACTCTCAAAGGGCATTCTCTTCGCCTCCACATACCTTCCAAATGTAGATCAAGACTCCACATCACCTATTATGCTGCCTCAATAAAACAGGTTCACAGAGTGGGACCGATGCCATTGAGTCAACCAAAGAAGTTATCATCTCAAGTGATAAGGAAGTTCAGGAAGAAAAATTTCCCGTGGAAAAAGGATTTTCTAATCTCTTAAATAACTGTCTATGAATGGATTTACTTAAGCAAGACCTTAAGTACACTTCAAAAGAAACTAGTGACTATAGTTGCAGGATGAACGTTGCGTCAATATAAGGGCCACTTGGGGACACTCTGAAATCCCAAGGCAAAATTGACTGTCTTGATTTGACAGAGGAATAGGGCCAATTGGGGGTTTAGGCTGATTCTGTTTTTTTGTGAGTCATTTTGTCTGTGGACATGCTTCACAAATTAAAACAAACCAGAAAAATCCCTAGGTGTGAGATGATTAAAGTTTCAAATCTGGTCATTTGAAATCACAAAAGTGCTGGATGAAAGCCATGCTGTTTGGAGGCTTTTATTTTTCTCTTGTTAAGATCCTAGGGTTTGCTGAGCTTATAAAGACTCCTTGAGTCAAATAAAAAGTGAGGGCTTTTGGAGAGAGTCATTCTCTTCAGTATCAGATGGATTTTAGTCTATAATTTTCCACTCTGGCTTATGTGGCTGTCTAGGCTTGATTCCATCAACTCATTTAATCTCCAATTTCATAAAAAAGCATGCTTTCTGTTTATCTTTGTCCAACTGAGTGCAATCTGTGCCTTCTAGCCCTTCTAACAATCCCAACTTTTTGAATTTTGTATCAGGATGCCTGTGTGGCATGGTAAATCTAGGCTGGCCTTGACAGGTTGGAAACTGCTTACTCCCAGTGAGAAAATTAAGTGACAGCTCCCAAAGACACTCACTTAGCAAATTTTAACCTAAAAACAGATCATCATTTTAATTTACTGTGATTAAGTGAAGTGGCGGAGAGAAGTTAATACAAGTCAATGCATAGCTGTAAGTTTTCAAAAAAATAAATGATGTTTCCCCCACAAACACTTACTTTTCATACACAAGCTAGTTGCTGAAGTAGGGAAAATTTAGCATTCGACACAAGCTCATCTGAAACCAACCAAAAACAGAAACTTGAACTGAATTTGCTTATTGCTATATCCCTCTATTTTGTAAAGCTGAGACGACTGCTTATGCTTCAAGGAGTTTGGTAAACAACCATTTGACCAACAGAGGCTTGATATTTTAATATCATTTTAATATCGTACCATCTGTATGTATGGGTCAGAGCTGGCCTACTGATCCATACATACAGATGAGATGCCTGAGTAAAAAGATTGGTCTTTTATGACTATTCGAGGCCCTTGTTTTGTGTATTAGGTTGGTGCCAAAGTAATTATGGTTTCAAATATAATTTGCGGATGAATTTATACAGATACATTCTACCTTAATATATGAATCATTACACCAAACAGATTCCCAACATTCAATCGATCAACTACTCTTACAAACATTTGCTTCTCAAAAACATTGGCTTCTCAAAAATATTTATGAAATCCTGTTTGTTAGCCCCTTCAAATACATTTTGGATCTGTCCTGTCTCAAATTTTTACTACCTAGGAAACGAAGGTCTAAAAGAAGTATTAATTCTCTACTTATACACGCACACACACACAGCAATAACTTAAAAACAAGGTTATGTAGGGGAAGAAAAGAGAGAAAGGAAGTTCTACCACATGGCATGAAACAGACTTGCTTAATTTCACTCTTTATGGGGAATAAAGTGTTTAAAATAACCCAAAAAGCTGAAACGAAAGGCAATACTTTTGATTATTCATCTGTTTTTATTTCCAACTCCTCATCTGTTACACAACTCTGGTGTTTTAAAGAGAAGCCTATTTGTAAATAAGAAGAAGGAGTTTGCCGCATGTTCTCACTCATAGGCGGGTGTTGAACAATGAGAACACATGGACACAGGGAGGGGAGCACTACACACTGGGGTCCATTGCGGGGAAATGGGGGAGGGACGGGGAAGTGGGGAGGTGGGAAGAGATAGCATGGGGCGAAATGACAGATACAGGTGAGGGGAAGGAAGGCAGCAAACCACACTGCCATGTGTGTACCTATGCAACAATCTTGCATGTCCTTCACATGTACCCCCAAACCTAAAATGCAATAAAAAAAAAAAAAAGAATAAGGAGTTGGCAACTGGATTCAGGTCTGGCCATTTTACCTGAGTGATGAAAAAGTAAATGATGCAGTGGTCTGCAAAACCATCTGACTCCCCTCTGAAATCCTCGTTTCCTCCTGAGATTGTCTAATTTTAGAGTAATGCTGAAAGTGTTCTTCACTTGCAGATTAATTAGTTGATGCTTAAGCAGTTCTTTGAACATAAAAGACAACATGTAAATCTAAGAGCAATCAATCATCCTCAAACTAATGGTCACTTAATTAGTGCTCTCTGCTGGTTTAACAGTTCATAAAGAAGAGGGCAATTTGGGGAAGGGTCTCCCATCATTGCAGAGAGGTGGGATGTAGCTATAACTAGAATGAAAAACGATGTTCAAAATGAAGGTTTTAACATTGGAAATAAATTGGAAATTGACTCTCTCTTCTTCTGGTGACTAACAGCCACGAGAAAACTGAACATGAAGCTTATCTTTTAGCAGCATTTGCATATTTCCAGAACTAGGAATCACAGTTTAAATTGGGCTTATCTGCTGTTTCGTGGCAAAATCAAACCCTTGAGGTGATATTTATAGGGCAAGAAGAAAGTTAACTCTGGAGGGTTTGTAAATATTATGAAGGCTTAACTTTCTGCATTCTCAGCAACATGGCTTCCTAAATAAAAAATCAAGTTGAAAGTCATATGATAAAGCTAGTTGTTTTGTAAACTACGTGTATGCGACCTTCTTACATGATTCTCTAATTATTTCTGTATTACTTCCCCTATTTGATTATATACTCAAAGCCAGGTACCTTGCCTATTTCCAGCCTTATTCAGCTAAGAGTCAGCATTCATTGAGTGAATCAATGAACAAACAATAAATGGAAATATATCTATACAACTAACATGAGCAAATGTGGCTTTGGGTATAAAAATTATTCTTCTTAAAAAATATTATGTCAAAGAAAATGTAAACAGTTCTGTTTGTCAATTAAGTCCCCATTCTAATGCTGGGCTGTTAACACAAACATCATCACAAAGAGACAGTCCAGCCAACATGTTCAAGTTACCCAGCACTGCAAGGAGACGTACTTGTTTCTGTAATCAATACCTGCATCACATGACTTTTTAAAGCCACAGTTCTCAACTATGAATTGGGGCAATTGTGACAGTTAAATGAAATAATCACAAAACCAACTAAAGTAATTTTTAACAGGTGTCAGCATGGTTAACATCAATTGATTTTTCTTTTTCAAAACTTTAACTCAACAGAGAAAAAAATTTAAAACCTTGCTGAATATATGTGTAGCCCTATCCTCCCTGGACAAGAATTTCCATTACCAACTGATAATTAAGCAGCACAAAAGCAACATTAGAGATCAGCACTGATACCTCATGACGGTGAGAGGCACACACCTCAAACCTAAGCTTTCGGGAATGTTGTAAAATTCATCACCCAAAAAGAGTTTTAAAAAGTCAATAGCAGTTATAAAGATATTTCAACCCAAATGCCCAATGATAATAGACTGTATAGGGAAAATGTGGTACATATACACCATGGAATATTACGCAGCCATCAAAAACGATGAGTTCACGTCCTTTGTAGGGACATGGATGAACCTGGAAACCATCATTCTCAGCAAACTGACACAAGAGCAGAAAATCAAACACCGTATATTCTCACTCATAGGCGGGTGTTCAACAATGAGAACACATGGACACAGGGAGGGGAACACTACACACTGGGGTCCATTGGGGGGAAATGGGGGAGGGACGGGGGGGTGGGGAGGTGGGAAGAGATAGCATGGGGAGAAATGACAGATACAGGTGAGGGGACAGAATACAGCAAACCACACTGCCATGTGTGTACCTATGCAACAATCTTGCATGTTCTTCACATGTACCCCAAAACCTAAAATGCAATTAAAAAAATAAATAAATACATAAATAAATAAATAAAAAGATATTTGTCATATTAGCTTGTTTCAAAAGAAAAAAGTATACAAAGAATTTAACTTTGTTTATTGTTTATTGAAATAAACAATAGCATAATTAGGGTAATATACTAGTAATCCTATTTGAAATTTTACTCCAAAAAAGAAATACTTCAACAATAGTAGTAGATGGGTGTCTCAAAGTACTCAGACACCGACTCTGTTTTTCAGAAGGATGTTTTTCATGTTCCTATCAGAACTCATGGAATAATTTCCATATGTAATTTCTTCAAAAAATCTCCACATCTAAACCTGACAACACAGAAGTGTTGGGCGTTCCTTACCAAATAGGCTGGTCATACAGCAGCACGCATTTGACCCCATTCCGAAACATGTGTCTTAAGAGGCTCTTCTGAAAAGGTCCCTGCAGCAGATGCATGCACAGAATCTGTATTAGACCCACACATAAAGCATTGGATGCAAAAAAACACATTCACCCTACAATCTTTTGACAAAGGTTTTGCGTGACTTAGCTGCTGACTTCTCTTATTTCTTGAGTGGATTTAATACCACCGACTTCTACAGGATATAAATAACCTTGGTCTATGCACCCAAAGTCATGTAAGACCGTAGAAAAGAACCTACCTCAATTTCAGTAAAACATCAGTTTTTAGAAAATCATGAATCTGTTTAACGCAAGGCAGGAGAAAAGCAGATATTGCTAATACCAATTAATTAAAACTTAGACCAAGAAAAAAAGCTACCACTTTGTAAATATTGCATTGGACAAAACTGAAGTGTTGTCTAACATTTTTCCTTGGTTCCTTTCCTGAATATGAATGCTTTCTGCATTTGCTTGAAATTATGAGAATTTTTTAAAACTCCAAAAACAGACCAAAACTTTGTATCATTGCTGATTTATTCTCAAGCTTTCCCTCTTTTAAGAAAAGAGGAAAAATAAAAACCATATAGAGCAAATAAACACACCTAAACAAGAGATGGTGGATTCTGCTACATTTATCATTTTGTAGATGCATGAGTTGAACAAGATAAAACACGTGAGTGCTCACTTACAGACGTTACAAGCTTTATGAAACGCAAAGGAGCTGTATTTCACCATAGAGAGCCAAGCGAAATAGAGCAAAACAGAAGTCGATCATATCCAAATAATTCAAATACAAACATATTTCATGAAGACTCTGATTCTAGACTGCTGCTCTCACTGTCTTCTACTCCCTTTTATTGGAACTTCTGAAACCATTTTGCTTGGGGCAGAAAGTAGATTTTAGTAGAGTAGGAAAAATGCCAAACATCCATGGCAACTTAGAATTTTTCCACTTTCTTTACATGTTCAATTGAGACCTTCATAAAATTATAAATGAAAGGATACATTATGAGCACTTTCTTTGATGAGGAAAAATGTGGGTGGGGGGGAGGTCTTGCCTGGAAGTAAAGTTTTGGAGTCTATATCCTTCTCTGCAGAACACTTGGGAGCTTTCTCTGCCAACAGCAGGACCCTCAGAAAAAAAGCTTGCCTTTGCCTTCAGAATTCAAAAAAGTAGAACCACCAGTTGCGCTCCTGACTGTGGGTGAGACGTTGATCACTAGGTGGGGACTGGAAAGTCCTGGGCTCCACTTTCTTGTCCCTCAAGGACTGAGGTCAGTGTGTCTTGGCGCCTTATAGCCACGCTCTCCACCTTCCCGCCTTCCCTCCCCCTGACCAGGGATTCACTCCTGTTTACATTGGGGAGACTGCAACTTCTGTTTCTTAACGTTTAAAAGAAGTTTAAAAGCTTATAAAAAGGCTCTTAAGATTTCTTGGACACCAATCACCTCTTACAGAACAATATTTTGATGAGTTAAGTGTAAATGAATCAGAAATGTACGTATTAAATTTCCCTTGACATGAACATCAGTTTAAAATATTAATGGAAAAAATGCCCAAGGCACAAAGTGCTAGGGGTTTTCTCAAACCCAAAATGCTTGAACGTGGAGTGGAAATCCATTCAGATCAACCAGGTTTGCTGATCCTCCCTCTCCACCTCCCCTAGGTCATAGTTAACGTGGAGGGAGTAATATTTCTGGCTGTTGACCATCTGGCTGGGGAACAGATCACATTCCTGGTCATTATGCTTGCATCTCAGCAGAAGCCTAAGACTGGGCTGAGGCTGTTGAGATGTCCAGCCGCTGTTCACTGAAGGCTGACCCTAAAAGCTGTCTTTTTTTTTTTATTTTCAAGACCAAATGAACTAAATAAACAATCACAGAAGATCATAAATCACTGACAAAGATATTTAGATTTGGAACAGTCCTCAAAAACAGAATGTGCCACAATTTATCCCTCAAAGATTAGCTCAGCCCTGGGTCCTGTAATTGTGGATCCCATGACTTCTGATGATAAATGACACAAAGGTCAAAACTTGAGAACCAGTAGAGTGTTTTTGTTTTGTTTTAAATATTGATTCTAGGGCCAAGAAAACACCCAGAGGAACAGAAGCCACGCAAAATCCTGAAATGAGACTTGATCCCTAAAAATCATCACTATTGATTTTTTAGGTTAGATTTTCATCTCTATTTTGTTTTGGGAACGGTTGACCACACACACTAGGTGAGTAACAAAATAAGGAGATGGAACCGAGTGAAAGAGATTTCAAGCCTCTCCTCTTTGGTCACATTAGCTAATCTGATCATTTGGGACACGTGTCACAGACACTACAGCTGTGAACAATTGCTAACTTCTTGGTGAAACATACCATGCTTTCAGTGCTTTCAAAAGTACTAATGTGAGCATATCTGCGCAATCTTCAACCCAGCATTCATTCTAGAAACGCACATGAAAGGGTTCTGTGAACTGTCATAAACTATCTCCACTTCAGCTGTTTTTACTATCATTTTCAAACATCATACCCCTCACCCCCTTAAGGAGACCTTACAGTCCTCAGTGCTACAGGTGAAGATACCCATAATCACCTCTATCTCAGGAGGGATGAGGCACAAAAAGAGTTCCCTTCCAATGGGATATTTTCCCTTGCTCATTCTTTCTCAGACACATGTGCTCAAAGGTTCGGCAGGGTCTGGTGGTCAGGGAAGAGTACGTATTTACAGAAACATACCTTTTAAAAACAGTGTTCAGCCTTATTCTACTCGAGGCCATGAGCTGGATATATGTTTGTTGAATGGCTGAGTGAATGAATGAAAAAGCATAACTCTTTTACAAGAAATTGGTGTAGATGAATGAAAATTAAAAGTCTATCAGAGACAGGTATAGCACAAATTTCCCCCACCTCAAATAGTCATCCCTTCACTCCAACCCCTCCCACCACAGAAGATGATTAGGATTTTCAAGGAAAAAAGAGAAGGTGTACAGCAATGATAACACCCCGGAGAGAGCGCAGATTTCTTCGCTTTATATGGTTCATAATGTTTAACCTCTCTGGCGGCCACCAGTTCCTAAAAACTCTTAAGCATTTTCGCAGAAAATATAAGGAAGAGGAGAACCAGCAAGAGTAATGCTGTCAATGGAGCTGGCAGACACAGAAAGACTCAGGAAAACTATGGAGGCTCTACGACACCTGATAACGAGTCTCATTTCCTAATACCAGATCTGGGGACTGGAGAAAGTGTCATCAACTAAAGCAGGGAATCGGATAGACATCAGAAATGCCCGATTCCAACCCATTTTCTGAGACTCCTTTCCTAGGCAAACCCCAAGACTGTGCACACATAAATAGAGTCCTACCATAAATGGATCTCTTTTTATCCCAGGTAATCAAGGTCCAGCCATCTCCCCCAAGCTGGACTTCTCTTGCTCTATCTGGAGATTCAGCATAAACACGTCCTCTAAGCTTCGCCTGGGTAGATGAAGGAGGCAGTAAGCATGCAGCTACTGGGGTTAGCGGCTCTCCCTTGACCACGTGCAAAGATGGAGGTCCATAGTTTATCCCCAAAACGTTTCCATGCTTTCTCCTGGCATTCTCTCATGCTTTTACAAGCATTGTTCAGGGAGTGAAAAGTCCCTTTTAAAGGTAGTTTAGACCCACACCCCTCCCTTAGGGGAAATTTCAAGGCAGAGGAAAAGCCAAAAGGTATGTGACACTTCAAAGCCTCACAAGATAACCACGTGGAGAAGGCTCAGTCCTCCCAGTTACTCAGCCCTCCCCTGTACTAATGGCAGGTGATAGAGACTGACTGTATTATTATTTGCATACTTGCTCAGAAGAAGGGCCACAGAAGGTCTAGAAACTCGGCTGGTGTTTGACTGACATCTTTTCAGACTTGGACCCCCACCGCCTCCCCCCTCCGCCCCACCCCCAGCTCTCCCCTCCCCTGCAACACCAGTCCAGGGCCTGATGTAATATTGCCCCAGCCTGCTTCCCCTTGCCTTTGATATGGAACCTGTGCCTACAGTCAGCTCTCAGGGATAAAGGAAACAGCCGGCTCCCGAGGCATCTGATGCGCCTCCCGCCCTTCGCTGCTGTTAATCTGCAACACGCCGCGGCCTCCCGATCGCTGCTGCCGTTCAGAGTCGGATGTCAGGGGTCGACCCGCAGGGGTCCTTTCTTCTTTCTGCTGGATACATCCTTCCTTCCGCTGCTCCTCGCCATCAACCGCCAGGCCGAGGAGGGGAGCAGGCGGGAGGGAGAGCGGGAGCCTTCCGGAAACCTCTTTCCTCCCGTCCCTGCACAGGTTGCCCCATAATGACCCTGGAGACTCCCGCCTGCCCCCAGTGAAGGAATTGGTTACTCGCCCAGAGCCCTCCCGGGCATCGCCCCCTTCCTCACTTCCTCCTCTTCCTGCCCCCAGCCTCTACCCCTCCAGCCTCCTGTGGCTTCACAGCCAAGTGCCCCATCTCAGGAAGAAGGAGTCCGGCGATGGTGAGCCTTCAGACACCCCACTGCAACCCCCGCCTCCCCAAAGGCACAAAGGCAGGCAGTGGCTTCCCTGGTATCACCTGTCAATCTAGGAGCACGGTGGGGGGGGGGGGCTATCAAAGAGGGCATGGAGCATGAGCTCCTTTCTCTTAGTAAATAATACTATTCAGACCTGCTAGAGGGAACATACTTTTTAATTTACATTTTAAAACTGGTTTAGAATTACTATGAATGTACAGTGTGTGTTTTCCTGGAGTCCAATTGTAACCTTAACCCCAAATCTAGGAGTTCTGTTTTTATATATCAGGAAGGGGACCCCACCCACTCACCATCCACCCATCTTTCGACTCACCCACCTACTCTTGCTTATAACTACACAGTGGTTTATTTTGCCAGCACTAAACTACATAGCTTGTTTCCCCTTTGCCAGCCTCTGCAGACAGAAAGCAAAGGCTGATTATTCTCAATTTCTCAGTTGACACACACACGCCTCCTCTGAAGCCATGGCTGGGTGACACCTCAGGCAAATGCACTGATGTGCAGAAGTTTGCATGTTTTCGTTTTTGATTCTTTTACTGGAAGAATCTTTATAGCTGGGAGGCAGGTGCCCATCCATGGCAGTCAGGGGTCAGATATTAGAGTACTTACAGTGCTTATAATTTTCGTAGGATCAGCCTCCTCATTGCCAATTTCACTCTGTTTCAGGGTTACAGATCATACCTCTAATCCTGGCCAGTTGTCTCACCAATGTATGTTACAAGGGGCGTGGGGCAAGGAGGTATAGATGACCCAGCATAACCGTTGCTGAGAAACTCAAAGGGCACGTCCTACAAAGAGCAGAACACTGTTAGAGGCAGGCGTAATTGCAGGCACTAAATTAGCATGGGTCTCTCAGCCGGGGGCTAATCTAAGCCAGACCTCACGTCATGGCAGGCCATGAGTACATTACAATCACAATTCACAAGAAAAGAGAAAACTCACCCGCAATTCTCAAATGTTTCTTTTTAACACAGCAGATGCTTAGCAATTATATCAGAGGCAGAGGCATCTGGAGTAAGCAAGAAAAGTGATTTGGGTTAATAGTCTTAGAAAGGCTAAAGGATTTTCAGTGTATCTACAGGACTGAGCCCTGTGGGTACTCCCCTTTCTCTCCCTGACATCAGCCACGTCCACCCCACCTCTGCCATTACAGGTTGGTGCAACACAAGATCTCCATGCATGCACTGTCCCCCTGCATCTCACACTTCATCGGGACCCTCCTGCTGACCTGGCCCTACGTGGCTGACCTACTGCCTCAATTCTCTAAAACAGTACTTGAACCCTCCCGGTTCCATCTCTTCTCTTTGTAGGTTTCCCTGATACCCATGGGGCCCCACGTTTTTAGACTATGCCCTAACACAGGGCTTTTAAAGCTTACGTCCACATGAAGGCAGAAATCAATCTTGCGTGGTCAAAACAAATACGCTTTCTCAGTGGTAGGCTTAGGAGTGATTTTTTTTCCTCTGTAATCTACACGTATTCATTTTACATTAAAAAAAGTGTGTGTGTGTGTGTGTGTGTGTGTGTGTGTGTGTGTGTCTGTGTTTCATTCAGTTTAAAAATCCACTATACAAACACACCAAAGTTTGCTGCTTCTGGCTTTTTCAACTCTTCACATGCCACAGTCCTGGATTCACCAGTGCAGCTGATCTGCCTTTGAATTTGCCAATTGGGATTCTTTTTGGTGGGGAAGCAGGAAGGCTGGAGTGCAGTGGCATGATCATAGCTCACTGCGGCCTCAAACTCCCGGGCTCAACCAATCCTCCCACCTCAGCCTTCTGAGTAGGTGAAATTACAGGCATAAGCCACCATGTCTAGCTAAGTTTTTAATTTTTTTTTTTTTTGTATTAACAGTATCTTGCTATGTTGCCCAGGCTGGTCTCAAACTTGTGGCCTCAAGTGATCCTCCTGCCTCAGCCTACCAAAGCACTGAGATTACCCTGGTCTTTTTTTTTTTTTTTTTTTTTTTTTTTTTTAATTAATCAAAGCAGAAATCACAGACCCATTGTATTTCTACAGGTGAAAAGCTTACAATGTTGCCCGGGCTTAATTTCTATGAGACATAGATTAATTTCTGTGGATGAGAGGTCTCTTTTTCACAGTTTTCTTTTTGTCTGGGACTGCTGCCCTGATAAAACTTAGGCCTTTCCTTGTTAGGACATAGTAACCCTTGCAGCCATATTATAATGAATTTTGTAAAACCTGGCCAAAAATTGGGCTGTACTGGAATGTTACCTTTTTAAATTTCAGAATAAATAGGCTATCAGCAGGATCATGGACAAGTTTTGATCATACAGAGACAGCCATTGTAATAGGACTTTTTCTGTGTTAATATAATGTTTTAATAAAGCCATTTGGCACATGAATAAGACTCTCTTAGACCAAGCATTCTTAACAATGAGAGAATTGAGATCAGCCTATAGGGTGTATTAGTAAAAGTGTCTTTTCTAGCTTTACTAAAACTCTTCCATCTGTTTAGCAATAAATTTATCATTATTAAAACCCTTCTGAAATAGACGTGGTAAAAAAAAAAAAAAAAAAAAAAAAAAAAAAAAAAAAAAAAGTTCTGCCCCTGTTACGATACTTTCCAAACAAGCTTAAAATTGCCCAGAAACAAAAGGCAGGAGAGAAAAGAAAGGGCAGTGTCTCCAGATAATGAAGTTCTGCCTTTGTGTTTTATCTGTGAAACAGCACGGTTTGAAAAGTCTGGATCCCATTTCATCTGAATTCAACATAAATGTAGTGCCTGGAATCCTCCCAAATGAATAAATTCTTTTCTGATAATTTTTAAGTGAGGAAAGATCAACAGGATAGAGGCATGGGGTGGCAGTGGGGGGGATTATAGGCTGCAGAGTGTGTGAGTGAGTGAGTGTGTGTGTGTGTGTGTGTGTGTGTGTGTGTGTGTGTAGGGTAGAGGGCAATAAAATACACATTAAGGAACAAAAACCTGGTCAAATGTACCCGTTGCTTTCTTTTTGGTGAGCCATGCTGAATTTTGTCTCTCTTTCTTGAAAAACCTTAATAGATTCATATATTTGTTGACTAAGTTCTCTTGTTCATTTCTACTCTGCTTCCCTGTCCCATCCCAAGTACATATTCCTCAGATGGCAACATGTCAAAGCTCCTTCCCTTCTCTCAGATGGTATGCAAGCTCCTGATCTTTTTCTTCTCCCTGGATTGCGCACAAAATGATGTCAATTTATGGTGGGGGTAAGCGGATACGCCATGAACTATTTATCTCTTTAATTTTCCTCCATGTTGTGAGGTCTTGCTGAGTGCAGTCTGCAACTTCTGGAGTAATGAAGAGAACAAAAAGCTGTAAGCCTGTCACACTTACTCTCAGGATCAAGGTTACCAAAGAGGAACTGTGTCATTTCTTTATATAAATGGCTTAAGCAGACCTCAAAAAGTTCTGCAAAGAACACAGTTCTCATTTGGGCTTAATGTTCTCGCTTTGCTTCTTTGCGTTCTTTAAGGAAAAAAAAAAAAAACAGGAGGAAAAGAGGCCATTGATCCTCCTCCTTCTTTGACCACTGGAAGAAAGGTAGAGGAAAAGAAAAAGAAAATTAACAAAGAAAGGACCCATGTCCCTCCGGCTTCCTCCTCCTCTCACCATCCACAGGCAAAATCTAATAAAGATGATTAAATTACATGTCTTTTCCTCCCATTGAAATCTACTGCATACTATTCAAATATTAGAACTCAGGAAATAAGGCAGGACAAGGTCCCTCATGAAACCTTAGAAGGCAGCACAGGGGTCTGAGCTGGAGGTCTGCTTGGCTGGGCAGCTCTAATTAAGAAATCACCCTGCTGAGCAGAACTTAATCTAAATAAAATGTAAAAAGGAATCCAGTGAAAACCATTACCTCCACACCCCACATCCTCACCCACCTCACATCCATAGCCTCCATTTCCCTAGTCATAGGAACTCTACCTCCCATCACCTGGGAGTTCGATGTTGTTCTATGAGCCCCACAGTACAATCAAGTGTGAAGTCTCAGCTCTAGAAGAGGAAGCTATGTCTTGTGGGGGCCTCTTGCTGTTTGGCTGGCCTTTCACAGGGCCAGAGGCAGATTTGGTCAATGTTGTTTTGGTTTGCATCGGGATATGAGATGGAGATTTGATCAAGGATTGATTAAAAGAGTTAGTTATCTGCTATAGTTAACAGCAAGTTATTGTGTATCTCAAAATACCTAGAAGAGAGGACTTGAGATGGTCCCAAAACATAGAAACGATACATACTAACAGTTATGGATATTTCAGATACTCTGATGTGACCATTACAGAGTCTACGCATGTAACATAAGATCATATGTACCCCATAAGTTGGTACAAATATTTGGATCAATTTTTAAAAAGCAAACAGGAACAAAAAAAAAGAGTTGACTGTCTGGTCAGCCTTTCTGTTCTTAACACGATGAACTGCCAATCTTCAGCCTCTCTTCAGGCTAGCTGGGTTCTTCCTGCCTATCCATCAGCTACTTTGGAGTAGCCACCTGAGAGAAAAGTCCACATCTGCTTAACTTGATATTGCTCAATATCCTGGTACTAGTTAGTCCTTTATACTGTATTGAATCAGTCTCAGACCTCTGCCCCACCCACGTCCTGGGCGCTCCCTCTGATGTTGGGTAACATTTGTTTAGACTCATTTCCCACTCTCCTCCATAGAGATCTGTTCTGCATTCTCACTGATCTCAGTGTTGACCCCATGAGTGTGCTGTTCTCTATACTACACTTTTGTGACTTTGCATGGACTGCCATGTCCACCCACGGTAGTGGCTCTTAAACTGTTGAAAACCTGTTGAAAGACAAAAACTCTATCCCTAAGATGGGAAAAGCACACATATGTACATAAACGCAGGGTTTGCCAGCGATTTCAGGGAGTACCTCACTCTCTAAGGAGTGTGTGATTGCCAACTTGACCCATTTATGCCTGAGGTTACGGTTTTTGCAGTCAGATCTTGGCAATGATCTTGAGCAGTAGAAGATAAGTAACTCCCACATGCTTAGCGTTCCAATAATGGAACACTAGACATAAATCAGTCGAACCCTTGAGATTGATTATTCCTTTCTCTCTTTTCTCCCATTTTTGGAAAACTCCTACTTATCCTCAAGGAGACCTCCACAAAGTTTGCAGACTCGTGCCCTGTGCTCCTTGATGTCTTTTGTCTGTAAGGCCAGTATACCACTTACCACAGGACAATAATTTGTTTGCGTGTCCATCTTCTTCTAGACCAAAGGGGGGCAAATGTTCTCTGAAAAGTACCAGATAGTAAATATTTGAAGCTTTGTAGGTCATATGGTGCCTGTGGCAACTACTCAACTCCGCTGTTTTTGCAAAAGCAGCCACAGAAAATGTCTTAGTCTGTTTGGGCTGCTATTAAAGAATACCATGGACTGAGCAGCTTATACACAACAGACATTTATTTCTCACAGTTCTGGAAGCTGAGAAGAATAAGGTCAAGGCTCCAGTGGATTCCACATCTGGTGAGAGCCGACTTCCTGGTTTGCAGGTGGTGCATTTTCTCTATGTCCTTACATGGCAGAAGGGAAAAGGGAGCCCTCTGGGATCTCTTTTTATAAGGGCACTAATCCCATGCATGAGGGCTCCACCCTCATGACCTAATGTATTAGTCCATTTTCACACTGCTGATAAAGACATACCCAAGACTGGGAAATTTCCAAAATAAAGAGGTTCAACGGACTTACAGTTTCATGTGGCTAGGGAGACCTCACAAGTATGGCAGAAGACAAGGAGAAGCAAGTCACATCTTACATGGACAGTAGCAGGCAAAGGGGGAGAGATTGTGCAGGGAAACTCACATTTTTAAAACCATTATAGGCCAGGTGCAGTGGCTCATGCTTACAATCCCAGCACTTTGGGAGGCCGAGGCGGGTGGATCACAAGGTCAAGAGATCGAGACCATCCTGGTCAACATGGTGAAACCCCGTCTCTACTAAAAAAAAAAATACAAAAATTAGCTGGGCATGGTGGCGCATACCTGTAGTCCCAGCTACTCAGGAGACTAAGGCAGGAGAATTGCTTGAACCTAGGAGGCGGAGGTTGCAGTGAACCGAGATCACACCATTGCACTCCAGCCTGGGTAACAAGAGCGAAACTCCATCTCAAAAAAAGAAAAAATAAATAACCATTATATCTCATGAGACTTATTCACCATCAGCATGGGGAAGACCTGCCCCCATGATTCAATTACCTCCCACCAGGTCCCTCCCATCACACATGGGAATTCAAGATGAGATCTGGGTGGGGATACAGCAAAACAATATCACCTAATCACCTCCCGAAGTCCCTACCTCCAAATACCATCACACAGGGGATTAGATTTTAACATAGGAATTCCAGGAGGACACAGACATTTAGCCTATAGGGGACAATATGGAAACAAATGGACATGGCTCCCTTCCATTAACACTTTATATGCACTGCAATTTGAATTTCATATTCTTCTCATGTCATAAAATACTTTGTTTTTCAAACGTTAAAAAATGTAAAAAGTATTCTTATCTCTTGAGCTATTCAAAAACAGATGGGGTAAGGGGGCAGATTTAACCCACAGGATATAGTTGCCACTCCTGTTCTTGATAGAGGAGAAGCCCTCAAAGGTAAATCTTACTCATTTTTGAACTTCATTATCTAATCCCTCAATTCATCTTTGAGTTTCATTATCTAGCATTAACTGATACAAAACATGCATATAAATATAGAATTGACCCTTGAGCAACATAGGTTTGAACTGCACAGGTCCTCTTGGATTTTCTTCTGCCTGTGTCACCCCTAAGACAGCAAGAACAAGACCAACCCCTCCTCTTCCTCCTCCTCCTCAGCCTAGTCAATGTGAAGATGGTAAGGATGAAGCCCATTATGATGATCTGCTTCCAATAATAAATGCATTTTCTTTTCTTTATGATTGTCTTAACCTCTCTCAAGCCTATTGTAAGAATTCAGTGTATAAAACATATGATGTACAAAACTTGTATAATCAACTGTTTCTGTTATCGATAAAACTTCCAGTCAACAGTAACCTATTAGTAGTTAAGTTTTCAGGGAGTCAAAAGTTATATGCCAACTTTTGACCGCATGGGGTGTTGGGGCCCCTAATCTTGAAGCGTTGTTCAAGCTTCAACTCTAATAACTATAAACACAATGACATTTTGATGACAAAAAGTTCCTTGAGACAGAGCCTGAATAGAACAACCATAAATGTGGCTTTAGGGACACTGTGCGGCTTCATGTTTCATCATGATTAGAGATGTAATACCTTAAAATAGCCACCAACACTCCAGTCACAAATTCTGGAGGTCTGGGATCATTCCATAAATCACTGGGTAGATGCAAAACTTTCTAGAGCAGTCTAATATCAGTAGAGTAAAAAATATCTCCTGTTAAAGAGATTTCTTTACCACTCCCCGCTTTCATGCAATCACAGCTTCTTTGAGCCTCTCTTTAACAATCTCTTAAACCTTCTGAGTAGGCAGTTCTGATACAGCTCCCAATGATCTCCCTTCCTGGTGTTCAAGCCCTGGTGTAATCCCCTCTTCTTGAATGTGGGCTGGACTTAGTGATTTGCTTCTCATCAATCGAATACACAAAAGTGATGAGCTGTCACTTCCAAAATTAGTTCAGACAAAGCTGTAACTTGTGTTTTGTAAGCAGCCTCGCTCCATCGCCTTCTCAGCTTGTATGCTTTGAAGAAGCAAGCTGCAGTGTTGGGGAAGCCCCTGTGGCAAGAAAATGAGGGTGGCTTCCAGCTGATGGCTGGTGAGAAACTGAGACCTACCTTCCTTCCTTCCAGCAATCGTCAAGTAACTGACTCTTCCCAACACCATGTGGGTGAGCTTACAAGTGAACCTTTCTCTAGTTGAGGTTTCAGATAAGACCACAGATATTATACTAACACCTTAATTGCAGGCTTATGAGAAACATTGAAACGAGAAGACTAAGTAAAACCATATCGGGATTCCTGACTTACAGAAACTGTGAGATGACAAATGTGTGTTATCTTCAGCCACAAAGTTTTGGGGGTGATTTGTTACACAGCAGTTGATAATAGCTACCTCAACCTATAGTGATAAATGGATGTCTATTTACTCATTCTCTCTACCAAAATGTTACGTTCCTGTAGGGCAGAGGTTAAAACATATTCATCCTGATACTTCTTCTCACAGCTCATAACATGCAACCTGGCCCACAATACATGATTAATCAATGTTTGTTAAATTAACTTGTATTTTGAGTTTCATTGAAATCAGTTAATTGAAGTGACAAAGATAACATTTAAATGTGCATCAGCAGTAGTACAAAGCAGATGGCTGGTTACGATACAAAGTTTTTGAAAATTGTGAGGGGAAAAAATTATTTATATTTGTACCCTGTTGTACCCAGCTTAGGTTTCAAAAACTTTCAGGGGGGGTTTATTCATTTACAAAAGACTTCAAAGTCAGTGCCTCCCCACCACACCACAGAGGTCTTTGTCCTTATTGATCCAACAGTACTGACTTGCCCGGCGCATAGTGGGAGCGACTATAAGGAGAGAGGAGAAGAAAGAAATAGAAACAACTGTGAAAAAAGTTGAAGAAAAAAGAAAAGGATAGAAAAAGAGCAAGGAAAAAGAAGATGTAGTTAACATCCAAGCCAGATGCAGAGAAATGATTCAAAAGAAAAAGTCTGATTTTCCTGTCTGTAGTCATAAATATTTTGACAAGGCACTAGGCATTTATCAAAAAGGAGGAAAAAAAAAAAGAATAACAGAGTTTGTCTTCCAAAGGACCCAACACTCTTGGAATTCAATGACCTAATTCTATATATGGTTGCAGTGTAGAGACTGCCTCTCTTGTCTGATTCTCATGGCACTGAGACCTCTGATTTCTCAACAGCGCAGGGCACAGGACTATCAGAAGTCAGGAATGAAGAACAGAGGATGTGGGGAACAGTCTAGATATTATGCTCAGCAAACATATTTTTAAGTCAGTGTAGATTCTCACTCTCTATCTTGCTGGTTGCTTATCTTAGCAGTTAAATCAACTTTTCATTACTTTTGTAGACATTATATAATATTTTCTCCCTGCAGCTCCAGCCACCAGCTGTTAGTCAGCAGAATGGGAGAGGGATTGGGTCAGCTTGAGCAGAATAACTTCCATGCAGACTTACGAGGGAACCAATTCCCAGCCACTGAACAAACCTAAATGTACTACAATGACCATAGAACCAAAGAGATCTTAAGAGAGAAATCTGAGAGCATTCAAAGGTCAAAACAATTGGAGCTAGTTCCTTCAAGCTTAAATATTCTCATCTGTAAAGGGGGGACAATAAGTGTGTGTCTTATAGGGTTATTTTGAAAGCTAACTATGTGTAAAAGCCTCAGTCTACTGAAAGGTTACTCGACCATAATACTCTTTTCATTTTGTGTGGGATAATCCTTTGTTGTGGGTTAAGGATACTGTCTTGTACATTACAGGATATTTAAAATGTCCTTAGCTTCTATCGACCAGATGCTAACACCCCACCCACAGACCACCATCCTCTCCATCATCACCATCAAAAACGTCTCCAGACATTTCCAAGTGACCCCTGGGAGGGTAAAATCACCCCTGGTTGAGAACCAGTGTTCTAGTGCTTGGCATTGTTCCATAAATATCGGATGATATTTTTATCATTATAATTATTACTAAAGGCAGCACCACCCTGCTATGGTGACAGCTCCTCAGTCTCACTGAATGCCCAAAATAGTTACCGCATTTCTGCATCTTTTCAAGAGTAACGGTTGAAAAGAGACATGGCAATTCATCTGACAGCAATCCAATAGGAAACCTGCTGTCTCCGTAGAAACTCTTTTCATGGAAAGAGAAGGGGCTACCATTTTGTTCTGCTGCAGGAACCAGCTCTATTCTTCAGCCTTACAGTTTGTGAAATGCTGCAGACTTTTCCAGGGGCATAAATTCTCCAACTTTAGGGATTGCCGGTATAATTGACTCTTGAAGCTGATGTTGGATTTCCAAAGTTACCACCATTTTTACCTTAGAAAGGAAGGAAAAAGATATTCAAGAAGGAGAATTTTTCAACAGAAGTTACCCCATTTGCTGTTTTTGTGGTTTTGTGCTTGTTTGGGTTTGCAAGTATGTTTTTTGCCCAAATTGTTCTTGCATATTCTAACAGTGTTTGCTTTACGTGTTTTGATACCACGCTGTTTTGAAGGTACAAATGTTTTTCATGGCATGTCTTGTGTTAAGTGCACAAACTGAGAGGTGAATATTGGGACTGAATAGAGTACAGTATTCCTCAAAGTTTTTAACCAAATAAACGCTAAGAGGAAAGTGAAGCAAGATTTCTAGAGGTCTGGAAGTGGCCAGCTGATAATACGGCATCTCTATCCCTCCTATTTTTATCTTTAGACTAAATGCAAATTTTTCTTTCTGTGCTAAAAGGAAGTTTCACTAGTTTCAAGGTAAAAATATGTAAATAGGCTCTCCATATTGGCTTGTTTATTCTGTGGTTTCTCCTACTCCCTTTTTTAAAGTATGTGCAGTGAATTTCCAAAGATCATAATCTTAGACTCTAACAGACCTGAACTTCAGTCCTTGGCTAAACTGCTGATAGAATGGGTTAACTTGGGCATATCACTTAATGCTGGTGACCCTCAGTTTCCATATCTGAAACGAGGAAATAAGAAGTGACCTACCATGTCGCACCCTCATAAGCAGTAAAGATAATATACGTAAACAATAGAGCAGAGGGCCAGGCACAGAAAATTCTCGATAGTCAGTAGCTGGCATAATTATTATAAAGAAGAGCACTTCCGATGTAAGACATAGGCAGAGGGTCATAAGTGTGTTAATCTGCCCCCACCTCCCAACCCTCTACCTGCCCTCCACACCTGGCCACCTGCCTCTGTGCTGGTCTTGCTTAACCTTTCCCAACAGGAAGAAGCTGGGCTCTTGTGAAATAGTTCCAAGGATGAAACTAACACAACTCATTAACCCTCCCAAATATCTGTGCTATAAGGATTTCCTGTCACTTTCCCATGACTCTGAATTACATCTACCCTGAGCCCTACCACAAAATCTGGGACATTACTTTGTCATGCTGACAGTTTCCCAATGCCTGGCTTTGTTCACATTGTTTCCCAGACCCATCTTCTGAAGATTCCGATTTGCTTGGCATAGGAAGAGGAGCAAAGAATTTATACTTTTAGCAAGCCCCCTAAAGTTTTCCTAAGATGGTGCAAGTTGAGGAAGCACTGCATTGTGCAATCTGCTTCTGTTGCCCGCAGTGCCAGGACACATCTCCATACATCTAGAACAAAGAACAACAAGTTTAATATCTTTATTTTAAAAAAAAAAACACGGATCATGGCAAATTTAATATTAGTCTAAGTATCTGTCAGAATTCAAACATACACACTCCTTGACCCAGCAATTCTACTTCAAGGAATTAGTCTTAACAAATATACTTCCAGATCTACAGAAAAGTGAATGTAAAAGCATTGTCTCTAATGCTATGCAGAAGCTTTGCAGTCTCTAATTTAATGGAGAAGACTGTGAGAAAAAACCTAATATCCAACAATGGGGGAAGAAATTTATGGCATAGCTATACAGTAGAATATTACGGAGATTTACAAAGACAGCTCTCTGTGTTCTGGTATTTTATATCAACACAAGCGATTCTGTACGTGTTGAATTAAACAAAAAGGTCTTCAAGTTATATTTTAAATTAAAAACGGCAAGGTGCCTAACAGTATGGGTAGGAGTCGATCTGTCTCCTTCCTCTCTGTACACCTTTCTATCTTGATTGTATGTGTCTTGTGCATTATAGGATAGTCAGCAACATCCTTTGCTTCTATACAGCAGATGCTAACACCCCACCCGCAGACCACCATCCTCTCCATCATCACCATCAAAAATGCCTCCAGACATTTCCAAGTGTCCCTTGCGGGGTAAAATCACCCCTGGTTGGGAACCACCATTCTAGTGCTTGAATACATGCACTTACCATCCCTAGAAGGGTATCCAGGAGCACCACTGGTGCCTGCAGGGTAGAGGACTGATGCCTAGGTGCCAAGGCCAGGAGGGGACTGAATTTGCCCAATATATGTTTTGGACCTTTTGATTTTTGTATCATGCATGGATTTGACCTATACAAAAGTTTATTTTGATTTAAAACAGAAGCCCTCAGTCTAGCTAGCACTCGTACCCTACATTTATTCCTTCCCTTTATGGTTCTCTTTCCTTACCCCACAGCTTTGCTCCTCCTTTCACATTAGTAGAATCCTTTCCTGTCCTCCATTTCCACCATGGTGTAGACTTCCTCTCTCCCTAGTTCCACTCTGCTTAAGCCTCCCTCTTTCGTGGAGGGATGTCTGTCACCTTCAAAGTTCTACTAAAGCTGCCTTGAATCTAAGGCACCCAGGAGGGTTTGCTGCCCTGATGAAATACACTCCATGACCGTACCCTTCCTGTGTATCCACACATTCCTTATTAACTGGAGATCTTATCACACAGAAATGCTTTAAAAATAATTCACTTTAGTGTCAAACTTTTTTCTCTTTTAAATTTTTATACATTTTTAATCTAAGGATGCCTAGAAAACAGTGATGTCTGTTTGAATTTGACAAGTGTGTTTGCATTTCAAACATAAATTTCTCGGTAAAGAACAGACTCCCTATTTATCCTATACAATATCAATATGAAAAATACCTACTTTTAATATCTCCTACCAGCCTAATTATAAGATCTTGGAAGGGGGAAAATTTATCTTTAAGCATTCTACTTTCTTCTTAGGGCTTAATGCAGAAGTTTGCCATTAAAGACCCTTAAGAAGTACTAGTTGAGTGAATATCAGAATGAAGTAGTGGATGTACTTTTTTTTAAGTTCTGGGGTACATGTGCAGGATGTGCAGGTCTGTTACATTGGTAAACGTGCAATGGTGGTTTGCTGCACCTAACAACCCATCACCTAGGTATTCAGCCCTGTATGGATCAGCTATTTTTCCTAATGCTCTCCCTCCCCATTTGACCCAGTAATCTCATTACTGGGTATACACCCAAAAGAACAGAAATCATTCTATTACAAAGATACATGCATGCATATGTTCACTGCAGCACTATTCACAATAGCAAAGACATGGAATCAACCCAAAAGTCCATCAATGATAGACTTGATACAGAAAATGTGGTACATACACACCATTGAATACTATGCAGCCATAAAAAGGAATGAGATCATGTCATTTGCAGGCACATGGATGGAGCTGGAAGCCATTCTCCTCGGCAAACTAGGATATCTGCAGGAACAGAGTATACAATTCTAATTCATTTCCAGGGGCGTTTGTTGATTGTATTTTGGCAGAAGCACATATGGTTTGTGACACAGTGTCAGTACCATGATTGCACAGTCAATTTTTTTCCTTACAGTTGTTGGCTTGTTCTTGGTACAGTCACGGAGTATCCCTTGTTGACCCTTGACCCCATCTATGTCCTTCAGAGCACCAAGCATAGGGATGTGCCCACAGCAGGTATCTGAGAAACAGTATGGAATGAATGTCCTTTGATGAGCAATATAAAGAACATGTAGAAAGCTTGGGGAAAAAGTAAGCAGTAAAAGTAAACAATGACCAACTTGCCCCGAAATCTGCATATGGTTAGATTCAATGTTCATCATGGTACACTGCTGGTGGGAGTGTAAATCAGTTCAACCATTGTGGAAGACAGTGTGGCGATTCCTCAAGGACCTAGAAATAGAAATTCCATTTGACCCAGCAATCCCATTACTGGGTATATATCCAAAGGATTATAAATCATTCTACTATAAGGACACATGCACACGAATGTTCATTTCAGCACTGCTTACAATAGCAAAGACCTGGAACCAACCCAAATGCCCATCGATGATAGACTGCATAGGGAAAGTGTGGCACATATACACCATGGAATATTACGCGGCCATCAAAAACGATGAGTTCGTGTCCTTTGTAGGGACATGGATAAACCTGGAAACCATCACTCTCAGCAAACTGACACAAGAGCAGAAAATCAAACACCACATGTTCTCACTCATAGGTGGGTGTCGAACAATGAGAACACATGGACACAAGGAGGGGAGCACTACACACTGGGGTCCGTTGGGGGGAAATAGGGGAAGGACAGTGGGGGTTGGGGAGTTGGGGAGAGATAGCATGGGGAGAAATGCCAGATATAAGTGATGGGGAGGAAGGTAGCAAATCACACTGCCACGTGTGTGCCTATACAACAATCTTGCATGTTCTTCACATGTACCCCAAAATGTGAAATGCAATAAAATAAATTTTTTTAAAATGTTCATCATGGGAGGAAGACTGTAGGCATGTTTGGGGGGTTGGCCATCTCTCCATGCTTTCCAGGAAACTGGGTTTACGTCTTCTGAGGTAAGAACTGGAGTAGAATATAGTTTTTCTAGATATTTGTGCTTTGCTAACTCCCGTCTTCCAAGGAGGGGGACGGTCTGCCTATTACAAGAAGGATGTGATCCTTTAGGCTTTCAAGAACTTCATTAAAAATCATAACTGGGGCCAGGCATGGTGGCTTAAGCCTGTAATCCCAGCACTTTGGGAGGCCAAGGTTGGGGGATCACGTGAGGTCAGGAGTTCGAGACCAGCCTGGTCAACATGGTGAAACCCCATCCCTACCAATGACACAAAAAATAGCTGGGTGTACTGGTGTGTGCCTGTCATCTCAGCTACTCAGGAGGCTGAGGCAGGAGTTGCTTGAACCCAGGAGGTGGAGGTGGCAGTGAGCCGAGATCACGCCATTGCACTCCAGCCTGGGTGACAAGAGTAAAACTGTCTCAAAAAAGAAGCATAACTGATATTAACAGACATAGTCACAGGCCAGTTCGTGTTTTTCCACTGATACGTGCTCTCAGGACTCTCCAAATGAAGGCTGGCCCACAGTCACCACAGTTAGGGAGGGTAACATTCATGGAGGGAAAGGGACTGGGATCACCCTAGAGACCAAGCAATCAACAAAACTGTGATTATGATTTTACCTAGATTGAGTGAAACATCAGGGATTCTAAGCAGTTTCCCAGCGCTTACTTTCCACTGGTAACCAGTAAGTTGGTAACCCTTAACGTGCACATACTGAGCATTATCTCTACAAGAACAAAAGCTTAATTGGAACATTTTGCACTCTTAACAGAAGAGTTTGCCTTCGACATCTTGGTGACCAGTGTGAGTCAACTTGAAGACCACATTGAACTATCTCTCTCTTCTGATCAGATGAGGATGTAAGTGGTCCTACAGTCCACAAAACCCATCCAGGTATGACAGAAAGACAACAGCTTTGGGGTGAGGCATTTTTCATTTGATGTAACTGTCTTAGCCTGTTCTCACACTGCTATAAAGAACTACCTGAAAATGGGTAATTTATAAAGAACAGAGGTTTAATTGGCTCATGGTTCCACAGGCTGTAAAGGAAGCCTGGCTGGGGA